TGCGCGCACAATGGGCATCTCCGTGGACTTTTTCTCGCTAAGAGATGACCATGCGTCAGTCTAGTGTGGCCTATTCGCAGTCGGGTCAACATTATTCTCTCTGTTTTGCTCATACTATCCATGGCCCACGGTTTGACGACTGTTTTAGTTCTTTTAATTTGTCGGTCATTTTGTCCCAGTGGTTCTGCCAATCTTTCCAACAAAGGTTCTTCATATATTTTTTGACGTCCGCTGGGCTCACGGGAGTTTCCGGGTCATGTGGCATTATCGCTGCTCGTTTGGCGGCTTGATCGGCACTTTCATTACCTTCTATGCCTACATGGCCCGGTATCCAGGCAATAACTACCTCTTTTCTTTGTTCATGTATTTCTCTGATTTTCTCTTGCATTGCCTGGATTAGTGTGTCCATGGTGAAGATATTACGGATGGCTAAGACCGCACTGAGTGAGCCGGTGCATATGACATATGGTTGCACCCAATGTGTTCAGTTTCATTCAGCGCGGATGATATGGCGGTAAAGATACTTGCAGCCTTTGGGAGAGGAATTGTTTTAGCGTATTTTTCCCAGCATACTGCGCGCCGACCCCCTCACTGACCCTCGAACCGTCTGTATAAATGAAGGTTCCTTCACTGTATTCCTCTTTGAGGGCCAGGAAATTAGCTTTGAATACATAATGGGGGGGTCTATTCTTTCTTCAATTCCGCCATATCTACCCGTATAGTATTGAGGAGAGCATCCAAGGTTCCTTCTTGGATTCTTTGATTTCCTTAACTTTAGGAATTGTAGCTCTCCTGCAGGCCAGTATCTCCTTCATGCTGATGCCTAATGGACTAGTACGGGTTCTTAGCATGGTGTACTCCTGTCGCAGGCCGGATCGTACAGAACCTTATGTAAAAAGTGCTCTTTTCTAGCCCAGATATTGGCACAGTAGTTCAGTATTAATTGAATTCTTTTTTCGCCGGGAGGTAACACTCCGGCTTCTGTGCATATACCACTTACTGGGCTAGTCTGGAAAACTCCTGTAACCAGTCTTAATCCTGCGGCATATACATTGTCCAGTTTTCGTAAGGCGGCTAATAAGGGCAAAAAGCGGGCCTTGAAAATATTAAATAAGTACCCTCCCGAAAGAAACTTGGTTCAATTTAAGAAAGCAAGGGCTAACGAAAGAAGGGTACTACTAGAGGCAAAAATGAAATCACTACAAAAATTCATCTCGGATATGGACAATAAAATGACAACGAAAGACATGTGGAAACGAGTAAGAGCCATATCCGGGAAGCGCAAGCCACCATCCGTTCCAATCCTGAAAGTGAATGGTAGCTTCATCACAAGTCTGAAGGAAGTGGCCAATTCACTCGCGGAACACTACGCGTCTGTCTCGAGTGATAGGTCGTACAGCGAAACGTTTAGGAGGAACAAAAAACGAATAGAGCAAGTAGACCTGCTACCCTTAGAAGGTGAAGTTACGGAGAAAGTAAACGAGGATTTAACAATGGCTGAGCTGGAAATAGCAATAAACCAATTAAAGGATAAAGCTCAGGGTCATGATGGGATCCCAAACGCTCTAATAAAAAATTTAGATAAAAAGCGAGATCCCATCTGCTTGAACTATTTAATGAAATCTGGCGAGCAGGAGTTTACCCGTACAGCTGGAAAAAAGCCATTGCGTACCGATCCCAAAAAAAGGCAAAGATCCTAGTGCTCCCGGAAGTTATAGGCCGATCTCCCTCACGACAAGCCTGGGTAAGGTGATAGAAACCATGGTTAACCGGCGGCTTGAGTGGAACCTAGAATCCAGAAAACTATACAATTTATACCAAGCTGGATTCCGGAGGGGCCACACAGCCGTCGACAGGCAGCCCTTCTCGAGAGCCACATTCAAAACCGTTTTTAAAACGGCAACACTGTGTGGCAGTATTTTTTGATCTCGAGAAGGCCTATGACACGACGTGGAGATACGGCATAATAAAGAATTGTCATGATTGGGGGTTAAGGGGGAATTTGCTAAAGTTTATTGTTCATTTCTTAAATAGCAGAAAATTTTATGTAAGACTAGGAAATGACCAATCAACCGAACACATTCAGGAAAATGTAATGCCCCAGGGATCGGTACTCTCCGTAACTTTGTTTGGGTTAGCCATAAATAACATTGCAGATAATCTGGATGCATCCATTTTTAAGTCACTGTACGTGGACGACTTAACAATATTTATGGCACATGAAGATGCAGACGAAATTGAAAGAAAAATGCAAAACGCAATAAATGCTGTCGCCAGGAATGCGGGTTCACATTCTCGAGGGATAAAAGCAAAGCAGTTCATTTCTGTAGATTGAGGAGGGACCATAATCACCCTCCTCTCAAAATGAATGGACTGGCCCTCGACGTGACATCAATCAAATACCTCGGCCTCACCTTTGATTCTAAACTTAGGTGGCAGCCGCACGTTGACAATACGCTATCCCAAACGAAGCAGGTCCTAAATCTAATGAAGTTCTTAAATAACTTCAAATGGGGAGCATCGAGAGAAGTATTGCTTCACATCTTCAAGGTATTGCTGTCTACGAAACTGTATTACGGATGTATGGTGTATTCCTTTAACGCTTTTCGCGACGAAAAAAGCTCTCGTGAGCGTTTACTCTTTTTGTAATATTTAAAAAGTATCAATTAAAAGTTCTAAATAATTACGAAAGTAAGAGTTACAGTTGGTTTAACAAAATTTAGTAAGAGATGATTTTTCACTAATGTCAGTCGACTTTTAATTTTACACGGCTCATTTGACGTCAAGACATTTTACTTTCGAATTTCTTGTTATTTAACCGATTTCAGTAAAATGCAAAATTCTATACAACTAAGACACCAATGATCTTAAGGGCAAGTATTCCCTGTCATCCGTCAAATCATTACGTTTAGTGTGTCTATGATATATAAGAGTATTAGAATTATTTTCCTTTAACTACAACAACGTTTGAAAAATTATGCTAACTTAGTTCCTAAAGTATAAAGAAGCGCAAAAGGGGCCCCTGTGGTGGATCTTTGGTTCTTTAAAAACCAGATTGACTGGCTGTGAAGATGAAAGAGAAGACAAGTGGAAATAATAGAGGGGGGATGGAAAAAAAAGAAAGTTTGTACCTTAACATTTAAATTCTGAACCCGGCCGAGTTTGGCACGTTTGTTTTAAAGCGAGATCCCGTGAATGTAACGATTATCAAACCAAGACTATCTGCATCAGTAAAAAATATCGACAATATTTAATACGGTTCATTTAATGAAACGAAACTGTATAAAATTGAGCTCGTTTGAATTGCTTAAAATAAACCATTCATTTCAATGTCATTAACTAAATTCCGCGATCAGAATTGTTAGGATTTGTTCAGAGAGAAGTTGACAAACCAAATCAGAACTGTATTGATTTTTATGCATTAACACATTTATTATAAACGTGATCCCAGGATTATAAAGGAAAAAAGGGGAGCAGATACTCCCACGTCGCCTTATTTTCAAGCTTTCACCCCACGCTTCGTTTACAAGCGCACTTATCGATTTCGAAGATCGACGGGTCATCTTGTCTTTCTCCTCGTTGACGACCACCAATTAAAATATTTCACGTACTTTCTTCTGGGCGCGGTCGGATGTGATATGTGATAACAGTGTCATTGAATGAATAGAAATTCGACAGTCGAGTCAGCCGGATGCTACGATTTGACATTATATGTATATGACAGAATGCTAGACCGGCACAAATAAATTAATATTACGCGGAAAATTTTAATTTTAGATTACCATGAACTGTAAATATGTCCTACTTGTGAAGCCCATGAAAGAGATACTTTTATTGCACAATATACATACATTGCTGATATAGTTTGCTGTTTTGCTGATATTTTTGTTTATATCTGCTGCCATTTGAGCTTCTCATTCTGGTTACTGATTCTGTTTCTACATGATTACTAAATTGATACCTTAAAAGGGTGTCCTCTCATTTGTACATCACGTTGTCAACTTTATAAATGTATATGTACATATACGCAAGTACAATCTGCACAATTTATTTATATATTCATTGTTCAACAGTGACAGCCCCTTCCTACGGTGTTCGTAAGACCGGTCTAGCTTGTCTTTATAAAATGAATGTTTTTTTTTAAATTTAGAAATCGTGAGATGCGGTCTGGTGAAAATGAATAAGTTTCAAAATTGTAAAATTTAATTGTAATGTACATTATCTAAATAAATAAAGACTTTTTCTTATTATGTTAACATGCATTGCCTATCGGTGTGATTCGAAAGTTCAACCTGTCCAATTATGCTGACTAGCAAGTCTTAACTGTCAGCGAAAAGTCGGGATAGATAAAAAACATAATTAAAACAAATTGAAATTATTATTTAAATTATTTATTAATTAAAAACTTAAAATTGAAATATTGCACAGTTGCTGAAGAACGTCAATACATTCTTAATCAAAGTAATCGGTTTTGAATTTAAAAAAAAAATTCATTCATATGAATATTTTTACTAGGTAAATTTTTTTTAACATTCTTAGTCAAAGTGGTCGGTTTTAAATTTAAAAAACCATACCCAATTGCATAGACCCGACTTTAGTATTCATTTTTATTTGTCTTTACAAGAAAAATATAATTGGTCTCAGCTAGAAATCAATGACCTGTTCAAAAGCAATCTAAATATATATAGTTTGCACCAAGTAAAGTTGAATCAAGGAAACGCGTAATTTTCCCTCTGGTAAGGACAGAATTCTGGGAACGTTTTGTCTCAGATTTGAAATCATTATATCACCAAGGACTTGGCTCAGGCAATTACTAACAGAAGTACAACTCGAAATTTCACAATTTGCACCTTTTATGACGATTTTTGTCATAAATGAGAAAATATTGATTTTTTTCATTTGTTATTAATGCACAGTTCCTGGTTATATTCACCCAAATAATTATAGTTAACCAACTATAAAATAACATTTTGGGATTATTGGATGAAACACGTTCTCACCTTAACCACGAATGTATGCAAAATTGATGACCGCCTGACCTGAAACAAGTAAAAAGAAGAAGTGAATGAATAATTTATGATTTATTTTCCGTTAACTTTGACAAATTGCTACGGTATAGTTTTGGTGGTCCTGTCAGATATTGCGTGTATTAAATAAAACTTTCGTTAAATTGTAAGGCTTTCGTGATTCAAGGGACAAAAATTAAATTATCCAAGTTCTCAGAAGCATGCGTTTGACGAAATCGGTAAACGGGTAGAACATCAACAAAAAACATTTGATTTTTGGAAATGGATTTTATTAATTATGGTTATGTGTAAAATTTATGTATTTGTGAAGTTGTGTTTCAAAAACTCCCAAAATTCTAATTGTGCATAGGTCATTTTCGCTTTGAGATATAATTAATAATACTAATTTATATTTTACTTTCTTATCTTATTATACAATGTTTTTAGGTTTATGAAATTTGTAAACCATTTACTTTAATCAGTATATAAAAGAGACTAGGAGTGGAGGTGTCTCAAGATGGCGAAACGATAAAACTCGTCTGACTTGCTTAAGTGAGAACACGCGGTCCAAGTTTACTCCGTACAAATGTTAAATGGTCGACGAATATTTATAAAGTCCCCCCCCCAATTCAATTGTCCATTACTAAGCCTCACGTCTGTTAATGTGTCTATATATCTTACAATTCTTGTTGTTGGAATAAATTGAATAAATTTGTTAAACATCTGTACTCAAGTTAATCTCGACCTTATAAACGTTTCAATATATCATTTAATTTTAGAATGTTCAATCGCATAAATGATAAGTACGTAGACAGAAAATATACCTAAAATTTCAAGTTATAAAAGTAATAATTTAGCACGACAATTAATACTAATAAAGCTTCTTTCTAGATATAGTATTATTTGCTCGTAAGTAAAAGCTAAGTTGGCAGCCACATATTGATGCCGTCGTGGTGAAGGGAGGGAAAGTGATAAATTATCAAGTTCGTCGGTCACTTCAGGTGGGGAGAGGACAAGGAAGCCTCCTGAAACGCTTGACTCGCTGCTATGTCCGACCTTGTTTATGGTTGCATGGGCTTTTCGTCAGCCCGAAAAACGCGCCTGCAGAGGCTCGATAGGCTGTATTATCAGGGCCTTCAAGCGGTCTTTGGTGCGTTTAGAACAAGCCAAATCGAGACATCCGCTTTTAGGTGCGATCCTTAGATGCCAGTACAGCAGAATATATGAGCGACTTCAGACCCGGACGCTAACCTTGGGAATATGTTTTGGGGACGCGTAAGTAAGGGAGGGCCGGGATGACTGGAAAGGAACTTGGGCAACCAACCGACTCCATCCAGTCCGGGAAGATCTCGCCGTGTTAGCCAATCGTCTATTCCGCCATACCTTTACCGAGCTAAGTTCTTGGAACTGAATCGAGGTACGCTGGTTATTGGCTCGTCTTCACAAATGGGTCTAAGACCGTGGATGTGGCGTGTGCTACACGGCGGAATTGTACTTGAATTGGCATGCTCTTGGAGTGATTCGAGACGATGGTAGCTCTGCCTACCTAGTCTGCACCGACTCGCTCAGCTTATTATTTTCCGTAACAGGTTCTTCGTCGACCCTCTCGTTGTGCCCTTTTTGGAGAGATACTACGAAATTGAGCGTCTCAGCAAACGGTGGTTGTTGTCTGGGTACCCGGGCATGTAGGCCTGGAGGATAACAAAAAGTTCGAGAGACGGCTGGACATTCCGACTGGACTTAACCACCGCGTTCCGGCCCTAAAACCCAATAAAAAACTTGATTAAAAGAAGGTGACAGCGTCAATGGGTCGTGTTGGCAGAGGAGAATTGAGAGCATTGTTGGTAGGTGGCCGTCGGAGGATCTGCTTAGAAGAAGGGTCATCCTCACCTGACTAAAGATAGGCTATACGAGGTTGACACATGGACCCACTTTTGGTCCAAAGACCGCGTATGTGTCGTTTGCTTATTGCTCGATGTGTCTCACCTAGTTGAAGGGTGCAATTCCATGGCTCTATATAGAGAGCGACCGATATGAAAATTATGCTTGAGCATGGCAGCGAATATTGGGGTCCCGCTGTTCCCATTCTTGGAGAAAACAGGGTTGTTTTATTTTATATAGTTTTGTGTCCCTAGCATGAGTTAAAAGTGAATGTATTTATTAGAATGAATGTGTAACGTGAGTGGGGCTATGACGGATTACTGAGTGATTGTTTTGTTGTGTATAGTACTGATAGGTTTGTGCGCCTAGCGTCGGTTGAGAAAGGATTGTCGTTAAAGTGAAGTGGGAAGGGTGATGGAGGAATATCGAGTATTCTACCACCCTAATTGAATGAATAATATGTAAATAGGAAAGAATTTATTTAAGAATGAATGAGAGTTGATTGGGATTGGATCTAGGAACTGAATGCGTCGGGTGCTGAATTGACCTAGCTGTCGACAGCACCCCCCAGGAGCCCAACAGCGGTGGCTGTACGGATAAAGGTGGCCATTCACGATCACTCCAAATGGAACCGCGCCAAGCCGTACAGCTCCATTTGGAGTGCCTGAAATTTGAGGGGCATTCACGACCGCTCCACAGCCAGTCGCTCCGAACGTCAACCAGTGAATTACCTTCACAAAATGGATGACGATCTCTTGTGCGACTCTTCTGGTTATTTACATATTAAAAGCAAAAAATCGAAGAGAAAATGGTGTAAGAAGTGGCTCCTGAACAGAAGCCGTAATACCCATATCAATTTGATGAAAGAACTTTCCCTTGAACCCGCTGATTGGAGGAACTATTTAAGGATGGATGAAACGTCTCATTTATTCATTATATTTAGTGTTCTATTGACCAAATTACTTCTTTCAATTATTTAATCTTTTTTGTAAGGTTTTGGTTGAAATGAAAAAGCTTGTGCCACGAGCGGGATCTGAATCCATGGCCTTCGGCTAAATACGCCGCTGCTCTACCACTTGAGCTATCGTGACTTCGATCCTCTCCGACACCAAAAAATGGCAAAAAGAGAGAAAATTCGAAAGGCTGTAGATTGAGATGGGGAGTTGGTGCCCGAGTGGATCGAACTATCGAAGTCAGTATAGCTCAAGTGGTTAGCGCAGCGGCGTATTTAGCCGAATGTCGTGGATTCGAATTCCCTCGTGACACTATTTTTTCATTTCAACCAAAACCTTACAAAAAAAAGATTAACGTCTTATTTATATTTATTCCAGCTTGTTACCCCCTTGATTAGAAAACAAAAGACAGTCATGAGAGAAATCATCACTACATGAAAGGTTGGCAACCACATTACGGTTTCTCGCTACAGGGATGAACTACAAAGAACTTAAGTTCTCTACTACGGTTTCTGATCATTGTTAGGGGTTATCAATACCTCATCTCTCATTGCATTTGTATCCTTTGTTTTGAAAACGTCGACCAACTGGTTGAGGATCGAATTTCTTTTATTTCTATCGTGGTAATATAATCATGTCCACCACTTTCATAAACATGGTAAACTTTCATACAATTCAATCACCTCAACAATAAAATCTCGATTGGATGTCATTACCAATAAAGAATAAACGTTTTTGACTTTTTGAGAATGTATGACGGAGATGTTTGCTCAGTGACAGAAAGACGGAGACTGCGCCAAAAAACGAAGGTTTTCCCATTCACGACCAGGCCACCGCGCCAAAATCCCCACCCTCCACGCCAGGTTTTCCCATTCACGAACGCGCCATGCCGTCGTCGCGCCGTAGATATTTGGAGTTTGGACTGCTTGGAGCGATCGTGAATGGCACCTTAAGACCGAGGTCTGCCCTGTACTGTCAACTCCCGGGGTGGATGATTCTCGATGCCTGCCGGCAGTTTATTGTTAGTTGCAAAAGCTGGAGTGCAAATGTGAGAGGCTCAACTCTGCCCATGTTTGTGTGTATGTATGTATATGTTCGTATTTGAGCCTACAAAAATTCAAATCCAAATCCAATTATTTGCTCATCTAATAATTCCGAGAAGGTTTTTGTATTAACAATCAAGCTTGTTAAAATAAACCAAATAGCTTATGTTTATTTAATGTTTTATTTATTAATGATGAATTCATGATTTTGAACATTATAATAAACCCCCAAAAAATGCAGAATTCAGTTTTTACTTTCGTCACAAAAACGTTATCTATTTCATTATTTGACCCATGCAAAAGATTCTGGATTCATTCACGTGTTTAACAAGACAAATAAATAAAGAAAATAACAAATTAACACTCGAGATTTAATAACAATAATAATAATGTAATTTTCATAAAACTTTATTAAGAAATTCATTATAACAAAAAGTTATACATTACTTAATATTTAAACAAACTTTGAAACATACTATAATTTGTTTAACTTTTTTTTTATTATAAACATGTCTAACATGGTCTCAGTTTGTGGAGTCTATCATTATGACAAAAAGTTAATCTTAATATCTCAATCTTAAAAATCTCAAATAAACATATACATAACGTCATCGTTAATTATGATGGCAGTAATTAAGATTGTAATACTTATACGGATTGGACAGTGCTAACCAGTCATACCGTTCACATACTCAATCATACTGTATCCAGGAATAAATGAATTGCCAAAGAATCTTATCCCTCTATTCACTTTGCTTCTTCGGACAGATAATAGTGGTACCTCATATCTTCACCTCCACCATTGCACCACTTACAAATTTCTTGGGCATGCAGGTCAAATGTATTAGATGCGGCTAAATTGGTTCTTAATGTCTTATCTGCCCTAGTGTAAGATAACTACGACGGTAATGATTCAAAATTAATCCAATTTTAATTTTCGTAAATAAGGTAGTTTATTTCTATTAATCATTCTAAACATTTCAATCTGAATTCGTTTTCAACTTTTCTGCATTGAACCAATTGTACCACCCGCTTATATCATTGACATTAATATTTTGCATATCTAATTTATTTAATAAGTTATTAATGTTTTTTTCCAAAATATATTCTTATTGGTAGCGCCTATTATGACAATTGTAAGACATTTGATATGCTTTACTGAGATAAAATAGGTGTATTTTAAGAGAGTGGTTAAAGGTTGGAGTGCAATTTATTTCATTATAAATAAAGGGATTTGGAACACTAATCGGAAGACTAAATATTTTTTTTAATAAAAACAGGAAACGGCTGAAAAGCATTTTGTCATAATACACATGTTCCTCCCCATATTTGGGCTCGATAGCACACTATTGACCGGCTTCTGTGTTGAAGATTTAATTTATATTGTAACTTGGGCATACTGTTTTCCATGAATTATTTCCAGACAGTGTTTAGACCAAGTTTTGACTTCAATTCCATGACCTTTAAATGGACATGGAAATTCAATTTTGGTGTCAGCTCCTAGGGAATTATATACGTTTACAACTCATATTCTCTGGCCCACTAGTCCGCAGCGCTTCCATTGAACATAGCTTTGGAGGAAAACCCACACAACGTTTAAAAGAACAACGGATAAAATTCAACACTAGATAAACTGATGAAATAAAATTGATATGTTCTACAATATAATTTATTTAAATTTAATCGAGTAGGTAACAAAGGGGAGTTGTATCCTTGTACACGAGGAAAACGGCAGTTGTCGTTAAAAATATTTGCTACGATCTGATACAGTTTATTGTTGCACGTGACATTTAATGAACGTGTCGTTTTAGACTGTTCTGGTATATGTGAAACTTCTTATTATAAGAAATGCATAGAACAAAAGGTGTGTATGCTGCCAACACGTTTGCAATATTCAAAATAGCATTTGTACAAATTGACTCAGTCTTGAAATAAACGTCTTACATCGACCTGTTTTCTTAAACCTGCTATTGTTGTTTTTATTTTTTGATATATTTTATTTGACTGCATTATCTAAAGATTAAATAAACCCCTTGAAAATTAGTATTATTTAGAGTGAATAATTTATTTTACTGAAAAACAAAATTTGTTGGTGAAAACTGTAGACTTGAAAATATGCAGTATCAGATTAATGAGAATCAAATAATTAATTAGTATCGTTATTTCTATAATTTAATCAACTTTTAACTGAAAAGACAAATGTTTCCGGAAATGATGCTGTGGTTTTCCGGGATCAAAAAACGCTCTAATGCTTTCAGGACAGAGACATCCGGTTTACGGAAGAAAACCAGCGAGACCAGACGCATTCGAGATCAAACGTAACTTAACAAATGACGCGTATAATCTATCAAAGGAATAAGACTCACATGGACAACGTGGGCAATTAAGTTCTAATAAACTAGCTTCACTATATTCGTTGTTTTTTCAGTTCAGAAATATTTTCAGCACTTTCACTTAAAAAAAATAATTGCAGATTAGTATAAAAGCATTTATCAGAAATATACTAGTCTAAAACTAACCCAAATTTTGATTACGTTCTTCTGTTCAAACAGCAAAGAGAAAGATGAAGTGGCGAAAGGGAGGATAGAACCCAGAACTATATAGAAGAATAAATACAAAAGATTGTCAAGGAGAGAGAGAGGGAGAGGGAGGGAGAGAGAGAGAGAGAGAGAGAGAGAGAGAGAGTGAGAAAGAGAGAGAGAGAGGGAGGGAGAGTGTATGTATGTGAGGGTATGATTAAGAATGAGGAACTTATGAATTAAAAGAACTCTTTAATATTTAGATTTAATAAGGGACTAGGAATACTCTACAAATTAAACTTTAAAAAACTTATTTAATGTGACGAAATGTTCGGAATATTAAGTATATTAATGTTAAAATATTATATTTCTTAGTGAGATGGGCTTTGTTTTGCCTTTATGATATATTCAATTATCCAAAATTTACTATACTATTTACTTTATTTATTATTTCTTTATTTATTTATTAAAAATAATAGACTGTTGTTCAAAAACTCAAGCCTTAAGACACTATTGGTAAAATGACCGTCCAATGGACAAAGTTTCATTGACTTAAACTTTCAAATTTATATTTAACTTCATTAATTAAACTTTTTTTACCAAAGGAAGGGTAATATATATTATAATTGACATTATTTGATAATTTACAATTTTAACGTGGAACGCAAAGTAAAAAAGTATTTTTAGGACGACGTTCGCAATGTCATCGGCTTGACTTCAAGATCGACCCGTCCACCAGTTCTCAAGTTTGGATGTGTTAGGGATGTGTTCAAATGAAAGAAACAACATTTTTTATTATTGTAATCTAATGAAAATTACTAAATTCTCTTAAAATTTATCATAATATAAAGTTAACAATTTTAAAAAACGATTCTTCAGCCCAAACAATTGCCATGGAGTATTCTTCTACATTCTGTAATTTTTTATTGTAGAATTATTTTGGTTGAAGAATTGGTTTTTAAAATTGTTAAAGTTATTAATTGTTGTATGTACGTGTATGTAAGCACTGTTTATAAAAAAAACTGCTCTTGTACAATGTCTTTTAAAGGCAAGTCTATGTGGACTCCAGAGATTTATTATTTTTCATTTGGATAAATTGTAAGGGAATTTATTATTTTTTGTTCAAGTATATGGTAACATTGTTCTATCATAAAAAATGTTGTTTACCAATTGCAATTCGTTGAGGAAGGCGAAATACGCTGAAAGCTCGGTAAACTATAATAATTGTTTCTTTCATTTGACCACATCCCTAATCTACAGCGAAACTTAACTTCAAAATGTTCTTCAACATTGTACAAATAATTGGAAATCTTAGCGTTAATGCATAAAGAATTTTTATAAATGTCATTTAAAATGGCTTAATTATTACACACATCCAAATAATTTAAATATTAGAAGTTAAGAAACAATTTCAAAATTGGAAAGTAATAAACAGACTAGCCGTTTATCGGAGAAAAAACTAAATCTTAATTATCGTGGATAAATATATAGGTATATGGGGTTTGTATTATACCAAAATTTCAATATACGAAGTTAAAATTGTTTTTTAAAGGCAGAAAGTTAAGAACGATACTTACGGTCGCCGTTTCACTTTGGCTCCGTCTATATGTAGCAAGGCCAGAATTTAATTAAACGGTATCAACTAATGCAACACCGATCACCGACTGGCAATAAACCTGAAAAGATTCGCAGAGGTCCAAATGTAAAAAAGGTGGGAGAGGTAAGAACGCCATCTAGTCGTTTTGCCAACAAACGTCTGCCTGCCAGGCTGCCAATGATGATGGAGACCAAAGTCAAAACCGCGAACTGTCATAAGCTGTTTCAAAATATCAAATTCAATGCACCAGCTCAGGACAGTCGACCGTTAAATCTTTAAGCACTTCTGTCAGCGCGATTACAGTTGTTCTCGTCTCTTGATTTTTTACGAAGAAGAAGAGAGTAGACAATTACAATACATATACTCAACAACACATGAGAAAAAGAAGGCTTGATGGAGGAGGAAGGAAACTACGTACAATAATAAAGAAAAAAGCTGCAGTACCACTTTATCGTGTACAATATACTTTTACATACATGTATTGCTTATTATTATTTATCTTACATTATCTATTGTTTTTTGTTTTTGCTTTTTAATGAGAAATTGCATCGTTAAGTTTTCTTTAACCTAATGTATGGACTATTTTAATTCAATTATATTTTTTATCATCTTATTTCTTACTACTTTACAGGCTACAAAAACAAGTAAACCATTCAATAGGTAAGCTTTTGTCATTAGTGTACTCGTTTTAGGACGTTACAAAAATTTTCAAGACTAGATAATGGTTTAATAAAATTTTTAGATTGTGTATATTTTACGAAAAAATCCCTGAGAGAACAAAATTATAGAACAGAATGAAGTGTTCCAATACACGAGATCATGTTACAAAAAAATCCATCAAGGATGTTTTGGTTTTCATGAATTGGACAAGCGATTGACGAATGTTATTGACCTTGTAACTTTTATGTTGCTAACTTTTGTCACGAACCATTCAGAACAAACGACAAAAACCTGTCCTTGATTAAACACAAAGGGTACAAACTGCTGCAAAGACCTCAATTCCTTGTAGTTATTTATATTTTTTAAGGGAGTAAGGAAGTTTCTTTTATTTGACACAATTTTGATACAGGATCCATCGTAGTACACACTGGTACACTTTGAGTCGACTCAAGTAGCGTAGATTCTTTGTTTGACTCAGAGCCACTCCAGATCAAATGTTATTTCACTTTACTAGGGGAGCGATGAACTGCTGTGAAAAAAAAGCGGTGTCTTCTCCACTCTTCCTACCACCTCTACGATGTTCTTCTGTATCATCACCCTCCTTTACCAACCCTTCGGCGATTCCCGCTCAACTTTGAATTTTGTCTTTACCACCGCTCAGTAATTTGACAAGTGACCACCCCATTTGCCCCTCGGCCACTTCCGCAAGTCAGGAAAGCGACTCATCTCTCCAGACTGTCCACTTTTCTGGACAGTCTCGCCCGTTCAAGTTTCTACCTCCAAGATCTTACTTCCCATCTTTGAGCATTAATCTTATTTATTTATAGTAAATACAAGAAATTACAATGTTTACAGATGAGCACTATGAGTTTTTAAAATATATGTTAATTTATTTTAATTTATAGTTAATAAAATATTAATTTATTGTTATATACATATATATTATTGGTTATATATTTTTATTGTATTCACTAGTTTAAAAAATGGTAATAAAATTATATACCTAGCGTTATTAATTGTATGTGAACGAAATTACAAACTGTTTAACCTTCTTCCTTTAATTCTTGATTTTTTTTAAATTGAAATTTATTGTTGGAAATAATTCGTATAAATAATAATTTAACAATTCGTCATTTCTTTCATATAACAATCCTTCATACAATCAAACTTTACTACTCGTACTGCACACAGAAATTCGAAAAACCCGCCATAATTTACCCATAGGATAAATTATTAACTATTATTAATATTATTAATAATATTATTAATTAATTATTACGGGTAAAATAAAGTTGGTGTGTGAGAGCGATGATTCATTTGAGAGTGAGCGGTTTCGATCCAATCCTTAAAAGAGCGGTTTCTCCCGTAGTCTATCCACACCAAGATCCGTGCGATTCAATCCGTGCTGAACAATGACGAAGGAAGTTGTTTCCTCCGGGATTTCTCTTGCTCTTTTGTGAATCATTAATAAAAACGCTAAAGTAATAAAAAATTAAAAATGGATGGTGGGCTCGAAAATTATTTAATGGTGGGAATCACCTTTTGGACATGGATAATATATACTCGCGGGGAATTTGCTTTTTTAATGTGAGGATTTCTGGATTTCTGCCACCGACTCACTACAAACAATATCTCGACACTTTGTCTTCTATTGACCGATATCTTTGAGTATCGCTTTTAAATGTTCAATGCAAATTCAAAGTATCAAAATAAAAATGAGTGATTTAAAATTTTTTAATAAATTGTTAAACTGCTTAAGAGTTAATTTTCGTATGATTATGGAACTCCCCCCCTTCCTGCCACTAGTCCTCTTCATAGCCGGGATCTGAACCTTCTTGTTCTTCGTAAGAATTTTGTCAACATTGTGTCAAGCTACTGGATACAAGATGGCTGTATCCTGAAACCAAACTGTGTGTTGGGAATGCCGTTACCTAATAGGATGAGTAGCTTTGGAAGTAAGAGTTGTTCTACCTAGTACCTTGGAGAATATAGGTAATAAACTTACTGGTCTGTAACTGATAGGATCATTTCTTAATTAGTCATGTTTTTGGATCATAATGATAATGGCGTATTTCCAAGACGTTGGAAAGTAGAACAGACATAGGATGGCGTTGTAGATTTGGTTGTCTTGGAAATACGCCATTGTCATTATGATCCAAAAACATGACTAATTAAGAAATAGGAGATACCGAAATGCCCTTTGTTTTGAAACGGTTGCGATTCCCAGTCAGTCTTGCATTTGCTATGACGATAAATTAGTCACAAGGACAAAGTTTTCAGAAAATTGGTTTGATTATAAGTTCGAAAAACACAATATTTACATATGGACAATTATATCCCTGACGATGCGCACGACAAAGTTAGGCATTAAAATAGAATGCAAGTAAAAGAAAAATGCATAGAAAATATTGTTTTCGACAAGCACTGAAGTAGCGTATAAGGGGCGAGCTGCGAGCCTGCCAAAAATCGAGAGGCGCGGAAGTTTTTGAACTCATTTCGAGTTGCTCTTTTTTACTTATATAAAAAATACGATAATGTAAAACTAGCGGAGTCTCCGCTCGCCGACCTTCGGCAGCTAGCGCCTGCCAGTTTCTTCGCGAGGGAGCAATGAAAAAAAAGGAGATGGGAAGCCACTACGCACTTATATATGCACTTTCTTCTGAACTTGACGATGTTGCAAGCCAATTCAACGATCTTCTTTATCATCACCACCTCCTCCTTGTGTTTCGCAGTTTAATCGATTTTGTTTCTCTTCCTACGCTCCGTAATTTCTTTACTTGCTTCATGATCCTGTCCTTGATTTGAGGTATAACCGGATGCTTGCTCAATGCATCGCAATGTTTGTACTGTTTCAGCTTTTCCTGAAGTCCAAAGGTTGACGGTAAATGAGAAACAAGAAAACAAGAAAGTTATATCAGAGATTCCATCCCCGTCAACGTTCAATTCGTGGAATACAAATAACAAGAAAAGGAACTCTAATTGAAGTGCAAAGGTGTTCAACAAAACAAAATTTTAAATAAATTACCCGACACAATGCAGATACACTGGAAAGAATACAACTGTATGGAGTACTCCAGTAAAGATTTCTAAGAGTAAGAATATTATTGTTGGCACAAACGAACAAATAGAAACGAATCTGTTTTCAAGATGGCCAAGAATGTGCATCTTCTGGACTTTAACTTTTTTACCAAACTTGAGGCCTAGAGCCCTAGAAACTTGGCCGACTCCACGGATCATTTGTCAGGCAGAAGTATGGGGCTGTGAACCCTCCTCAGACTGCAAAATTGGCGCACATTATGTTTCTCGAAGGAACGTAAATCCTGTTTCCTCAGTTGTTTTTTATCGACGTTTACCGCCGGCTTGTTTTGTTAGAAATTTTGTTTGTTTGTTAACAGTAATTTGTTATAAATAATTTTTATTGTAGTACAATAGCATTTTCTCTTTGATAATGGCCAAATAAATACTATCAACAGCTGAAATATTGATATAATTTTCAATAGCTTTGTAGTGGTTTTTAAAATTGTTCCTTTACTTTACAAGAAAAACTAATTTTATCATGGAATTACGCTCCCGGACACGGAATTTGATCCCAGTCGGTCTCGTTTTAAAGGGTAACAAACGGCGGCTGTTGCCCCGCATCGCTGACATGCCTCTCGGCTCTGCAGAGTGCCTAAAGAGGAGAATTAAAAGAAATCCCGGTTTACAGAAGAAATTCGACATCGTGTACAATTTAATCTCAGACATCAGGATGAACGCCAGGCGAAGACGTTCTTGGAAAAAGGCGGGCGACCGGACGAAAAAGCTGGGCTGCCACATTTGCGAAAAACGAAGGCAGATCGAAAAGACTGATTGGGACTCAGACGATTCGGTACGGAATTTCGTCAAGGTGAAACTTGTAAGCATCCTCGGTAGGTGTGGCTCTTAGAAAATCTCCGAAAGCCGAACACCATAAATAAACAAAATTCGCCCTTTTCCGTGAAATAAACTTTTGTACACAAAAATCATAAAAATTTACCGATTAATCTCGTTTTAGAAATAATATTAACACTTTCTTTGCCCGTTAGGAATGTTTCTGAATCTGATAACTCCATTCACCCCATACGAAGGTTTCATTATTAAAAACACATCTGTCTTTCAGTAAAACTTATAGGCAAAAACAGTTTTAGTAAGTTCATTAGTGGAATAACGATAAAACACTAAAAATAGAATGTTTTCATGTATTTTTACTTTTATACTAATTTGACGAATTAGAAATTAACATTTTTCTACAAATATCTCCATTAAAATGTATAAAATAAAATTGTACTTGAAAAGAACTTGATTCACAACTAAAGAATATGTAGAAGCGGTATAACAATTTTCCCCCTGCCATTATCTATTGTCCTTTTAAAATATCACTATCTTCAATATTTG